ACAATGACTCCAAAGCTGGAGCCTCCGCCTCCTCGAATAGCCCAAAAGAGCTCTTCTCCCATGGATTTTCTGTCAAGAACTCTGCCATTAACGTCGACAATTTTAGCATCAAGGACATTGTCAGCTGCTAGACCATATTTCCTGAACAAGGGACCATGTCCACCTCCACTAATATGTCCTCCCACACCAATAGTTGGACAGATACCTGCTGGAAAGCCATAGAGTTTGCTCTTTTGTGCAATTGCGTAGTACAACTCTCCGAGAGTAGCACCTGACTCAACCCAAGCTCTGTCATTCTTTATGTCAATATCAATGGATCGAAGATTGAAAAGATCAATGATGATGAAAGGAGATTCGGATACATAAGATAGGCCCTCATAGTCATGGCCCCCGCTTCGTGTTCTTATTTCTATGCCCTCTTTCTTGGAGCATACTATAGCTGCTTGAACATGAGAGTATTGAGAAGGGGTAATGATAGCTTGTGGTTTCGGTGTTGTGTTCAAGAATCTGAGATTTTGTATGGAAGATTGCAAGACTGGGGAATAAACCGAACTGTTTTCGGTGAGAATGATGTTGCTCGTTGAGTTAGAGTGTATGATGGAGGAAAAGCATTGAACAAAGCTTTCCGAAATCGAGTTAGAAGTTGTGGAGCAAACTGCGCTTAGAAGGATGAGAAGTAGTAAGGGAAGTAGTTTTATGTGTGAGATCTCCATCTTTATTTGTTCTAAACATATGAAATTGTATGATCTCTGAACTCACTTATGTAGGTACATGAGTTGGAAGAATTGAAAAGATCTTGCCCGCAAAGAGATTCTCATTCTTTGAAAAAAAAAAAATAGAGATTAGGTGTGATCGATGTGTAGCCCACTTCATATCGAATTTCAACGATCCGAATCATCTATTTTGTAAGTCTCGATTCATAGATTATCCTTGCAAAAATTTAATTCAATCTGAAATCATTTGCCTATTTCATTATCAAGATCAAATTTCATTGTTTCTTATATAACAAAGTATTCGTTCATTTCTATGAACTCAATTAGATGTCTTAAATATTTTCGATTTGACTAATATTTTGTAAGATGATTTATGAGGTACAACTTGAAAAATAAACAACTCAAATCATTAAAGTTTCATGTGATGTGAACCCAACAACTACTCCCAATTTTTATAAAAAAATAAAAATTCCTTATCGTAAAAGCTTCCTTGAAAAGATATAGGAGACTTCTCATAAACGTTTGCCCACCAACAGAGACTTCTCATACGCAATCACGTTTGAAATCGGAGATGCAAATAATTTAATATTCTTTGCAAATAAAAATATTATAATCTGTCCGATCCAACACGTGTAATTTAAATTAATAATTTTTCAATGCGAATCAAGATCCAGTTCTATTTTTTAGTATTTGCCGATTATGGATGGATCCGAGCATTTGACCGGGGAGTAGTTGCGAAACAGTAATTTTATAGATTTGGGTCATCAATGCATTTATCTTAAAGAAGTATATATTCGTAGAAATAATTTCCATTTATTTCAAAGAAGCTCTGAGATGCAAGTCAAGTCAAGGACACGCTCAATTCAGCTCATATCATAGCAACTGCTGCGTTTTAAACTTAGTTCCGGGAAGTTGCCTAGCATGAAAAAGCTGAACTATTTTTAGAAGGTATGTGGGAGGTGACATAATGAGGCTTGTTTTGTTCTTCAGATTAGATTGGATTGAATTACTTATAACATTCAAGGTATACAACTTGGACTGGATTGGATTCATCATGTATGTTGAAGAAAAAGTTAAGTAGTAATGAATCCAACATTTATAAATCGTCATCGTAGTAAATCATAAGCCACAAATCATAAATCATAATTTATAAATTTGGTAAAATATGTACTAAGATCGGATCATAAAAATATCACATCCCAAACTCGGAGACATGATACACCATTTAATTTTATTTAACCTTATAATTGTATCTAACTTTCGAGTTAAATTGCCTATGTATCCTCCGAAATGATCTAACCAATTATATATCACCATTTTGTTAAACTCAAAATAGAAATCTTGTGTTTGCAATGACTTTCAAAATTTCTCATTCAATTCTCATTTTCATTTCTTAGGTCGATTATGCCGTAATAGACATTTGCTTCAACAATAATATATCCAAACCAAGATCACGTTTACTCTTCTCTTAAGAAAACCCACTTTCTTCAAATACTTGAACCCAGACAAAATCTGATTAGAGTTTCTTCATTTTTCTATACAACTCCTACACGCAAAGGACCTTAACTTTTGATTCACAATTCGTAATTTCTTATAAAGCTTCACCACCAAATCTTCCCAACATCAAACATATAGCCATCAGTTTCTTCCCCAACAGCATCATCATACCAGGCAATTGTGTTCCTACTTCTTATGTCCAACCAACTCCATTCATGCATAAAGTACAATAAAGAAACTTAATTTCTATTTAATCATCCTTATTAGCTAAAACCCAATTGCAAGTATAAAAATCCATACAAACTTCACCTATCAGTTTGTAGAAAATTAAACCAGAAAAGAAGGGTAACAAAGCAAAATTAATCTACACCTGAACCGAAGCACGACCTTCCTCCGAAACAACAACAGGAGCAATCCAAGTGATGTAAGAATGGTGCCAATTCATACTCAGATTGCAGGTGACTCCAGAAGCAGTAACGGCAACTCCGTCGATAGTGACGTTGAAGCATTTCCTAGAACGGCATTCTCTTGGATTTCGAAGTTTTGGGGAGCTGGAGTGGAATTATTGAGGAAACGGCCTGAGTGACGGGCAAGACCGTAAGAAAATCGAGACCCTTTTTTGGGAGGTGATGACGGAGGTGAAGGCTTGGTCGGCGGTTCCTCCCTCCCCCCTCTTTTTGGGAGGTGATGACGGAGGTGAAGGCCTGGTGGGCGGTTCCCCCCCACCACAAAAAAAAAAAAAGAGTCAATATTATACTATATATTTTGCCCTAATCTTTTATTGGTTATTATGTGTGAATTTTGATACTTTGAGTTATATTTCTAATGTAAAACATTTGACTTCCTTTGGAGCAAAAAGTGATCAAACGAATAAATTTTGGAGTGATTCCAATTGGAGGTTGTTCGTGAGTCTTTCAAGAATTTATTTGTTATTATGTGTGAATTTTGATACTTTGAGTTATATTTCTAATGTAGAACATTCGACTTCCTTTGGAGCAAAAAGTGATCAAACGGATAAATTTTGGAGTGATTCTAATTGGAGGTTGTTCGTGAGTCTTTCAAGATGATTGTAGTCAAAATTCCAAATTTTTCTATCAAGCCATTTGACCGTGGCGATAAAATAAAGGTCTAGCGCACAACTTTCTCAGATTGATGTTTTTGGACGTTTTGGGTATTTTGGAGGTCAAGATAACATATTTTGAAGAAGATTCCTTCTGAGGATTTGTAGAGGACGTCTCCAGCTTTCAAAAGAGACATTTTGGGACCAAATCGGAGTTTATTTGATCGGTCAAAAGACTAATTTTCTGAGAACTCAAATTTTAGTTCAAATAGGAAACCTTTTGTTTTATGTTTTATTGTTTTATTATGTTTCTTAGTTTTATTTTAAGACCTTTTAGGGTTTTATTTTGTAGAAGTATAAATAAAGATATTTAGCCATTAGGGTTGGAGGATTAGGAGGAGAGAAGGAAACACACGCACAAGCCTTTGACAATTCAAGTTTATTTTCTAGGTGTTTTCTATCCTTGTTCTTAATAATATTTTATTAGGATTGTTCGTAACTAGTTCTTTTGCTAGGTTGAAGCCACGAGCCTTAGCATGAATATGTGATTTTATTAATTTGCTTATGAACGGATGCATGCTTGTTTTGAATTATTAATCACCGCGATTAAACTTTCTAATTATCTTAGTGATTCTTGACCATTAGGATATTTAGACAAGTAATTTGATGCAATTTATGTTGGAACATCACCCTGAAATTGAAGAGGGCTTCTTGTGATTAGTAATTGTAAGTTCACTTAAGGCGAACATCATGCTCTTAAGGGTTGCATGGTTTTTCAAAGGGTTTTCATGAAGCTTAATGAATCTTGCATGTCTATATTTGATCTGAATATCATAGATGGGTTGCATGTTAGATATACGTTTTCGCTTGAACATCAAGAGGAAAATATGTATTAGGAAAGCATAACATTCAAAGCATGTATGTAGAAATTCATAAGTAGTTGGTAAAATTGCATAAGATTGTTAAAGGGGCGGCAAAACCCTAGACTTTTACAAATTGATTTTCTTTAAATTGTTCTCTAGTTAATTTCTTTAATTGTTTTATTTTAAAATTCGTTTTTATTATGTTAAATTCTAAAATCAATATTTTCCAAACTTGGCGTCGTCGCCGGGGATTGTTTTAAATAATTTGTATTTACATATTCTTAGTTAATTATTTTTGTATATATCTTTTTACTTGTTGAATTTATTTTTATCTTTGTAGGTTATGTTTTGTTGGTTTTGAGAGCAGTTCAACGATGGGTTGGCAATCTCCACCAGCAGGAGGGTTTGCCTTTATGGAATTATATCAATATGAGGAACTCTCAAAGGCCTAGGTATGATCCCTCTGCAGAATTTTACAATCCAAGATGGACTGAGCAGCCTAGTTCTGTTTGGATGGGTATTCAACAGTCCTTTGAACAACCAAGTGTACCACAAAGATCTTCTCTAGATGACAAACTTGTTGAATTGGCCGAGTGTGTCAAACAATTTGTTGATAGCATGTCGAATACCAAACCATCATCAAAGATAATTGAAGAGCAAGATGGGCAGCTGGAGTATCACTTCACAGAAAACGAGAACGATTCATATTCAAACTTTAACAATTGGTGGACAGAGCATCCTACTTCTATGTGGGTAATCAATCAGCAGGCTTTTAAGCAGCCCTGCGTGCCACAAAAACTTTCTTTAGAGGACCAGATTGCTAAGTTGGAGGAGTTCGCTAGGCTGTTTATGGAAAGTACCCCAAAGTGGTTGAAAATAAACTCAATCGATAATCTGCGCACCAAATTGGACAGCTCAAGTATCAATTGGTAGAACAAGAAAACAATTCCAATTCAAATTTCCCTAATCAACCAATTGCAAACTATAGGGTTGAAAGGAGTGCTTTGTAGATCAAACATTGAGATGGGGGAAAACCAATGATACTACACTGGAAGAATCTGAAATTGAAGAGCCACCAGCCAGTTATATATGCCCAACAGTAGAAATAACGCCTGTTGACCCAAAACCTATGGCTACCCAAGTTTATGTGCCACCATAAGCCTTCCCAAAAGGGCTGCACAAATGCATAAGAATTGATACGTTAGAAGCTGTTCATACAAAAGCAGTATATGAGACATCACATGATGAGCTTTTAACCACTCTGACTATTTTGCATCCGAAGCAACCAGCTACTGATCAGAAAATTTTGGTCGGTGAATTGGACACGCCAACATCACAGTTCATCAAGTTTAAAGAAAATTAAGGTCAGTTCTATGACAGCCAAATTCCTCATAGAGAAACTCTGCCAGTGCAAAGGTTGTGGGTACTAAATACAAGATTGAAGTCAATTCGATGGAGACCAAAACATCACTGGAAACTGGAAAGGAATCTCTTTGATTACAGGGATTCATTCATATGGAAGGGCAAATATAAAGGATTCAACCACTGAACTGAAACACATAATTGATAAACATCAACTCATTCCATACTTACTGTTGCTATATGATGATGTTAAAGAGTGGTTGATTCAAGGGGAGCAAGTGACGTGATCACCAACCTTTTTCAAAACCGTCTAGCTATAGACGTTAACTAAAGTGCTAATTGGGAGGCAATCCAATTTTTTTACCTCTTTTCTTTTTATTTTCGTTTATTTAGTTTTCTTGCTTTCATGTCAATTACAAAAATCACAACAACAAAAAAAAATGAAAATTGAAAAACACAAAAACAGCCATATTTTTAGTTAATCAGTATTTTATTTGGGTTTATTCTAAGTAGATTTTTATTGTGTGATCATTGCAGGTTGCATTTGGAAACATTTCAGCCCCAATTCAATATCCAATAAATTGCATTCAGCAACATTCACATCTGCAACATTCATCAGAGATTTCATTATCAGTAGTAAAATACAGAAATTACATGAATGCAGAAAGGAACGAGGCACGATGAATTTGTAGAGCTTTACATGCATGACGAACAAGCCAAGTCAACACACTGAGACCACATAGTTGCAGGGACATAGAAGCATACTTTTTCAATGCAGATCTGTGAGTCTCAGTTTCTCCATGGTCTGTATTTGTTCCGCATTTGGGATGCGTGCTAGGTGGTTGCATCTCCTTTTCTTTATCGTCCTCATCGATTCCGATCAAACTTTACAACACAGGAAACACACATGCATTAGGCAATTTTCATTCAGTTTCCCCTAATCCAAGCATCTGAGACAAAATCGAAGGAAATGGGGGAAAAAATACCTGTGAGTCTGTCAGACTCAGAGAAGGATGCGATTTGTGGTTTCATCTTCACATGCTAAGGGTCTTGTTGCTCGAGGGAGTTGGATTTCTGAGACATGGAGACATCAAGAAGATAAACGAGGACATCGCAGAGGATTGGTGACTGAACTCGAATGATTTTGGTTTGGATAGGTTTTGAAACGGAAGGCCCTTATGGCTCTGGGCTCGAGGTCATAGAGGAGAAAAACTCATCGACTGAAATGAGAAATGGAGAAGCATGGGCTACTAAGGCCTGGTTTAGTACTGAGGTGTTTCTGAAAAAAGCTGGGAGTTGTTTTTGTGTTTGGTAAACATTCAGCTTCAGTTTTTTTTCACAGTTTTGGATGAAAAAAAGCCAAAAACAAGAAGCTGCAAAATCCAGCTTTGAAAAACTGGCTTTTTTTTTTCACATCTGTTTTACATAAAAATTTACCAAACACTATAATACTGTTTTTTTTTTTTCTTTCAAAAGCACTTTTACAAAAAAGTTTACCAAACACTCTGCTGCTTTATTTCACAGCTGCTTATTCTCACAGCACAGCAGAAGCAGCTTTTTTTTCAAAGCACAGCAATACCAAACCAACCCTAAATGTGTTCGTATAGAGAAGCATGTGGGTTTATTCACACGTGTGGTTCAACTCTGAGAGTTCCGTGTCCAGCCCCTCATGCTGATGCCACCAGGTCTCGAGTTCGACTCCAGGTCAGCTCGTTCTTTTTCTCGTTTTGTATTTTATTTGTTTTATTTTATTTTCTGCTGTTTCGTTGTTTATTTTATGTTTTGGTTCATTTCAGTATTTCTTTTATTTGTCTTGATTCATTTATGTTTGTGTCTTAGGGTTTTCTAGTCGTAAGGAGTCATTTTATTTTATTTTTATTTGTTTCCACACCTTGAGGACAATGTGTGATTTAAGTTTGGGGATGGGAAATAAGAAATTTTAGGTATTTTCATTTTTGTGTCAGTTAAAAATTTTCATTTTTAAGTTAATATCTATAGTTTATTTTAAACGTTACAACAAATGGACATAGTGAAGGTTAATCCACAATAAAGTCTTTTCTATTTATCGTTGCTTAAACACTAATTCATGAATTATACTTTTCACACCAACATGATTTGTGGGGAGTGAGATTGAAACACTTACTTTTTGTCTAAGTGTATTCTTAATTTTTATTATATATAAAGCAAAGTTTAGTATGTGTTATAAATTAATAATTGCTCCACCCGAGGCTATGCTTAGTAACCGGGCCAGTCCTGCCTAATTAACAGTGATTCTCTCATTAAACGGTAGAGTTTTGGCATGGGGTAGGGTAGGTTAGTTGGTTTCGTAGCCTTTTCAGCTCAAGTTAGTAAGTCCGTAGGGGTGTTCTACACCTATGGCGTATTTACGTAACCGTAATGAAAATATAAGAATTGAATTGATGAGGAGTTGGAATGAGGACAAGTCAGAATCGGATTCCTGTTGAAACTATTTACTTAAATGTTCTGGAATCGGAATAGAATTTCATAAAGCTGTTTACTAATTCAGCAGAATCGGAATACAAAACCAGTATGATTACTAAAATGCCCTTGTCCCAAATCAAATATGTATTAATGCTACACTTGAAAAAATCATGACTCATCAATCCATCATCATCTCATTCCTCACCACCTTCATTATTCAGACCCCACGACCTCAAATCCGTACAACTAGAGCAAATCACTCATTTTTCGTCGCAACTTAAGCAGAAGTCATGGGGGTATGCAAGCTAGTCTTTTTTTTTTTTTTTTGCCTTTTAATTTAGTTATTGAATTTGTATCGGTGTATGTATGCGTATGGTTATGTGTTTGATCTGAGACTCTAAGGGAGATGAAGAGCGAGAAATGGTTAGTGCTCTAATTTTCAATTACAACTACTCTCTGTTATGGTGGTGCAGTGGTGATACAGAAGGGAGATGGAGAGGGAAAAGTGGTTAGTGCTCTAATTTTCAAGATTCTTTGATTCTTAGGGGCAAACAGAGAGTAGTTGTAGTGGGTATGGGATCTGGGCTTGGCGAAGCAGCATTTAGTCGTGAGGTAGATGAAGCACCAACGCTGGTGAGGGAGATGATCACGGTAAGATGAAGGGCAGTATTGGAATAATCACAACCAAGTGAGGGCATAATTGGTAAAAGAAGTCCATTCCTGATTCCCCTCCAGTCCAGGAATTGAAATACCTCCCTCATGTAGGGAGTCCAATTCCTCCAAAATCAAGAGCAGGATTCCCCAATTGGTGTGGACCCCACGTGTTTTTTGATTCCCCAAGATCAAGTAAACAAAGGTGTATCTCGTAATTGAAATCCAATTTTGTAAATTGATTCCGATTACGGGTACGTAAACGTGCCCCTAGTGCCCTAAAGCCCTAGTGGTTTGGGAGTCATTGACCTAAAGCTCGCTACATGGGTTGGATCGAAAGCTTAAGGGAACTGACATTGCACGACCACCACTATTACTGAAAAAGATATAAAAAATAGAAAAGATAAAAATCGGAAAAAAATATGTGAAGTTAGTATGTATGAAGTATGAATAAGGAAGACGAGGGGTAAGGGATTTAGTCGAGTCTCCTTAACTATGTTGGTCCACTTTACACCAAAGGAAGTTCATGAATTCTTTTTTAATTGATTCTAAATGGCTTAGACTCTATGGTGGGATTAAAAGGAACTTTTGAAAAGATGTTCTAATTTTTAACGTTTTCTATGGATTGCAACTTGAAGATGAAAATTTTGTCTTAGTTGAGTTTTAATAAAGTTTTTAAGTTTGTTAGTTTTTATATTTGTTTTTGAGTTTTGTTTTGGTTGAGGACAATCAAAAAGCTAAGTTTGGGGGTATTTGGTGAGTCAATATTATACTATATATTTTGCCCTAATCTTAGTAATAATTTATTGGTTATTATGTGTGAATTTTGATACTTTGAGTTATATTTCTAATGTAAAACATTCGACTTTCTTTGGAGCAAAAAGTGATCAAACGGATAAATTTTGAAGTGATTCTAATTGGAGGTTGTTCATGAGTCTTTTAAGATGATTGTATCAAAATTCCAGATTTTTCTATCAAGCTGTTTGACTGTGGCGATGAAATAAAGGTCCAGCGCACAGCTTTTCCAGATTGACGTTTCTGGATGTTTGGGGTATTTTAGAGGTCAAGATGACATATTTTGAAGAAGATTCCTTCTGAGGATTTGTAGGAGACGTCTCCATCTTTCAAAAGAGACATTTTAGGACCAAATCGGAGTTTATTTGATAGGTCAAAAGACTAATTTTCTGAGAACTCCGAATTTTAGTTCAAATAGGAAACCTTTTGCTTTCTGTTTTATTGTTTTATTATGTTTCCTAGTTTTATTTAAGACCTTTTAGGGTTTTATCTTGTAGAAGTATAAATAAAGATATTTAGCCATTAGGGTTGGAGGATTAGGAGGAGAGGAGGAAACACACGCACAAGCCTTTGACAATTCAAGTTTATTTTCTAGGTGTTTTCTATCCTTGTTCTTAATAATATTTTATTATGATTGTTCGTAACTAGTTCTTTTGCTAGGGCGAAGCCACGAGCCTTAGCATGAATATGTGGTTTTATTAATTTGCTTATGAATGGATGCATGCTTGTTTTGAATTATTAATCACCGCGATTAAACTATCCAGTTATTTTTGTGATTCACGACCATTAAGATATTTAGACAAGTAATTTGATGCAATTTCTATTGGAACATCACCCTAAAATTGAAGAGGGCTTCTTGTGATTAGTAATTGTAAGTTCACTTAAGGCGAATATCACGCTCTTAGGGGTTGCATGGTTTTTCAAGGGGTTTTCATGAAGCTTAATGAGTCTTGCATGTCTATATTTGATCTGAATATCACAGACGGGTTGCATGTTAAATATACGTATTCGTTTGAACATCAGGAGGAAAATATGTATTAGGAAAGCCTAACCTTCAAAGCATGTATGTAGAAATTCATAAGTAGTTGGTAAAATTGCATAGGATTGTTAAGGGGGCCATGAAACCCTAGACTTTTACAAATTGATTTTCTTTAAATTGTTCTCTAGTTAATTTCTTTAATTGTTTTATTTTAAAATTCGTTTTTATTATATTAAATTCTAAAATCAATATTTTCCAAACTTTGTTTTAAATAATTAATTAAGAGTTGGTTTTAAACACCAATTATTTATTGAATCCCTGTGGAAAATGACCTTACTTGAGCCACTATACTACTACAACCTTGTACTCTTGCAAGTATTTTTAAGTATTTTTATCCCTACTTTTATAGGTGGTAAAAATCCTATGACCCCCTCCCCCTCCCCAACCCAACCTAACTGCACGCACGGAAGAAGAGGATGAAGCTGTTGGCTTCCAGAAAATTCCTTCTAAAATTACCAAATTGCCTATTGTTTAGAATTTCTCCTTTGAATTCCAAATTCCAATCCCTTTGCGCTCATACGTTTCTACCCGAGTACTTTTCAAATAAAATAAGATGTTGAACACGTGTCTCATGCTCAAAGGTTCAACAAAAATGAAATTGATCCTTTTATGGGCGTTTTCCACGTTAATATGAACTATTTTACTCGAAAAATTAGAGAGGGGTTACGACGTCCATGTTTATATGCATGTAACGGTAAGTACATTGCAGCAATTGATGAAGAAATGTCTAATATTTCTCTTAATTATTATTTCTTCAGTTTCAGAAAAACAAGCATCCTTCATTCCCATTGCTAATTAAAAGCTTACTTTCATCCTACTTGGCCAACTAATTTGATTATTTCTGAAGCCATAAACTACAACAAACATGCAACAGTTATAACAAGTAATATCATATTATTAATTTGTAAAATGCAACTTATTATTCGGGTATAATACAATGACTAACTGAGGATTTATAAT